AAATGTGTCCCCAGCGCCACGTGCAGGGCTCAGATAGGCTGCTCCTGGCTATCTCAGCATGTGCAGAGCCTCCAGCTGCTCCCTCAGTGCCATTCCCTTTCCTGGAGGCACCCAGAGGTGCCAGGGACACGTTCCATGGGCTGCTGAACCCCTCGGAGCCACACGGGCAGCACCTCCCAGAAACAAACACAGTTCCTGGTGTACAACACCACTCCTGTTCTCCTGGGTCTTCCCAAGTCTAGGACATAAAACTTCTTTTAAAAATTTAAAACATTTCTTAAAAATAAAAGGGGAGCAGCCAGATCAGCCCCTCTGTGCTAAGTGACAGTGCCAAATTTCTCACTAACATCTGGGTTAGGTAAAAACTGCTCTGAATTTATTACTTCTTCATGGCAGGCCAGCCCCCACATTCTCTCTATATTCCTCACTTCTCTTTAGGTGACCCATCTTATCTTTCTTTAGCTCTTCAGCTACCTCACTGCCCTATGAACCATGAAAAGCTGCTGTAATTAAAATAAAACTGGACTTCTTGATGTTTTAATTTTAATAGCTGCCCAACACTTTAGAGTGGAGCTTAATTAAAGTGTAAACAAAGCAGTAATCATCTAAGAGCTCAGACACAAATTCATTTATTTACACTCAGCACAGAACTGTTGCACCTCAAAACATCAAGTAATCTTAATGTGTTTATGCTCTTACAAAATAACCACTGAGCCACCTAGGAGCACAACTACAATATACCAAACTTTGCCCTAAATTCATCTTCAAAGTACTTCAGAACCTGGAACCTACTGATTCTTCCTTTAAGACTTTGATAGACAAGTTTCATATTTAATTTTGCACTCTTAGTAGTTAAAATAATCTGAACTTCTTGCTATAATGGTTTAAACTTTATAAATGAAGTAGATTTTCCAGCTGAATAACCCTGAACATTGCTGCTCAGAACTCACCATAAGATGCATGAAGCACTGCAGATGTTCATTAAATCTAATCAGTTGTATTTTAACACAGTCTGTAAAATATTTTAAATAATCTAACCAATCTAATAGGCAGCCTGAGTAGTGTCCACAACTAATGGCTGTCGGATAAGCAAGTCAAAATGGAAATATGGCACTAACAAATCATTAAGATATTGCCATGATTGCAAATTCTTGACATTTTCGTATGTTAAAGATTTCATTCAGTGTCCCTCTCAAAGGTAGCAGTGGTTGGTAGTAATATTGTATTTTAAGAATGTTAAAATATGGCAGCTCTAAATATCACTTAATGAGAAAACAAAAATTGAGTGAAACATAGAAACCAACACCTTGCTAGAAATAAACATTTTCCTAAACCCCAAATTTGTCCCAACTGAAGCTCTTAAATTCCTGTTATGATGAAGAGATGTCAAGTTACTCCAAAAGGTTAAACTTTCCAAACAGATTGCAAATAATCACCCAAAGAATTCACCTTTGCAGCTTCTACTGGGGCAGACTTGGGGAGGATCAAACCAACAAAAGCATGTGTTACATTTGCAGGTGAATTGGAAAAAGCATCAGAAACTTTAGGGAATTGTGCTGTATGAGCCCATTCCCCAGCTCAGTCTCACAGCTTGATGTGCTCTTCCCCACCAGGAATAAAGACAGATATTGCTGGTTTTGAATTCCCTCATATGTGAGCCCACAGGTTCTATTTAAAGAGCTGACATTTAAGGGTTTTACATCATCCTCTCTGCAGCAGCAGTGTCCTGAGAAACATGGAATAAGAGAAACACTTCTGATTTAACTTTAAATGACTTTGCTTGAAGAACTTTCCTTGCCCACAAAGTGACCTTGGCCTAATAATTACCTCTCTCATTGAAAGAGATCTTAATAGCCATACAAAGTGTCCCTCTCCCTAAAATAGAGGGGATCCCAAGTGCTGCAATGAATTTATTTAATGCTATAATGCTTTATCAGGATGTTCATTACAGTGATGCTGGTGAGGGCTATAGATTCTGTGAAGCATTGCTCAGAGATGTTCAGTTCCACATCAGCAGCACTTAACAACCTGAAATCCTCTCAAAAGCAGCTGATTTATGGGGCCAGCAGAGTTGCCATCTTTTCCCTTTCATGCTACAGCTGAGCTATTTTACACTACACTAATTCCCAAACATTAGGGACAGGAAGAGGGGGGAGCAAACCCAAAGTGGGAGGAAACTCTTGTTCAGCCACGACCTAACTTTATTATTTCAGAGCAGGGGAAAGGATTTTGGGTACAATTTCAGCTTTTTTATACTTGTGAGTCAGAATGTATGAAGAAACATTTTTAAAGGGTATATGCAAAATCTACCTCAGGCAGGAAAAATGGTCCAATTTTATTGCAGGTGTTCAAAACAGTTTAGTAAATGGTTGGATACAATCTCCTTTATTGAGGAAAATGCATCCATGAAGGCACATTCCAACTATCCCACTATAAAAGATCTGAATAATGCTGAATTAAATATTCACACAGCTCTTTAGGAAATGCTGTAGCAGTGAGCTGGACAATTCACTGTGTCAGGAGATGCCCAAGTCGTTTTCTTACCTGCAGCAAAGGCAGAGCACATCACAAAGAACATCCCCACTGCAATCCTCTTCAGGGAGGATGGCAGCAAGCCATGCCTCTTCAAAATGGGGTCCACCAGCTTGTCCTTTAGGGGGATCAGGATCAGGATAAGCACTGCATCAAACATGGTCAGCCAGGCTGCTGGGAACTGGAAGGGAAGATGATTAAAGCAATTTCATACTTAAGAGGTAATTTTTACTATTATTTTACAAAAAAGGTTTTAATTGAACACTTTGATCCAAAATAAACAACAATGCACTGACAGACATTGTGAAAAGTCAAATAAGAGTGTTTAAATGCTGAAGAAAATATTCAGCTATTTAGGTTTTCACTGAATCAGGCTGCTCACACATCTGTAAGCTCAGTTTCTCCTCTGACAGAATTGAACTTTGTACCTAATTCAGTCATGAAAAGCATTTAGTAGCCAAACTCTGTCTATCTCCTATTAAGCTTGGAACTATCAGAAGTATACAACAGAAGAGCAAAACCAGAGTCTTACTAATGTAAATGCAAAGTTCAATTAAAATCAAGTTACACTTGTCAAATGACCACAGAAGGTGGTGTAACACATGTAAACCCTGTAAATCCTGTGGTTTACTTCTCTGTGCCATTTCTGCATCACATGATGCCAGCCTTCCTTGAAAAGTATTGATTGAACAGCTTCTTTCAATATGCTGAAGGTAAAGTGATTATTGATTAGGCAGTCTAGAGTAACAAATGTGTCTCAAATTCCAAATGCTAATGTATCACTTAAGGATGGGAATTTATTCCTACTGGGCTTGCAGAAATGCTTCTGTCCTGCTCTGGAAACTCAGGGCAGGGAGATTGATCAGCGTTCTCCAAAGGTCACACTTTGGCCACTGAAGGATAAAGAAACTCTGATGAAAGCAGTGAGAGTTACCTGAATGCATCCAGAGCAGGCTGGGGTGAACTCCAGGCACGTGCTGGAATAACAAAATCTGGGATGTGCATCGTGCTCCTAAACCCCCAAAGGCACTGCCTGCACCTCCTGGAATTGTTGTACCACACTGACCCAATCTGCATCTCCACTAAAGAAAGGCCCTGCTCTTGTTTTGCTCTGCTCACCGTGTGGATGGAGTTGGTGTCATTGGATATCTCGGGAATTCTCAGATGGAGGCTCTGCAACACATATGTTGTCTGCATCTAGCATCAGGAAAGAGGAGTTGAGATTACTTGGACAAGGAGTGCTGAGAGCAAGATATTTTTATTTTGTAATCATTAACAAAGATTATACCAGAGGTGAAATGCTAACACAGCAACCTGAAAACAATTACATTCAGAACATTCCAAGATTTTTTAACCTTGCAGCTATTTTTACTAAAAACACCAAGAATCATTTGTGTGTCTTTGAAAACAATTTCTGCATTGTTTCTTTTGCCCAAAATGTATCTGATATCCTGAATCATCTCCATAAGGCAGAACCTGAAAATTAAAATGAGGTCTAGACCATTTAGCCTGACCTATATGAAACAGCTGCAAGATGAAATACAGCACAGTATTTTAGGATATGTGAATTTGTACAACTGTGAGTCGTAACTACACTTGTAATGATTTTTTTTTTTCTATTATTAGGTCAAAATATTGTTTGAGAGCATTCCTTAGTAGTCATTTTTCATCTCTGAACTCCAAGGTAAGTTTCCTATTTATAAGAGAACACCCCAAAAATGTTAAGTTAGAAATTACATAAAATATAACTGTAACCATATGGAACTACTCACTTGAAAATACACTGTCCAGTAAGGTATTAAAGCCAGAAAGACAGGGATAATCTTGACAAGAGCTTTCACATCCTCCACCTTGTCTTCTCTGAAGGGGCCCCCCCGGGACAGCTTGGCCATCTCGAAGAGGCTCTGCCTGCGGGGCGGGTGCAGCACTCCCTGGCCTTCACTGTGGGAAACGTGGCATTTGACATGTTCAGTAAACACAACTGGCGATCTTCTCTTCCTTACAAAAAGCTAATGCATTTCCAAAATGGGTCATTCATGTAAGTTACAGCAACACAGCCAGGCCAGAATGGATCCCCAGCAGGTGGAAACACCAGAGGAAACCTTCTGCCATGGAGTTTCCTTATTTCCCACCCTCCCCTCACAGCCCAGCCCTAAATAACTGGCAGAACTTGGAGTAACCTGCAGTTTGTGATATTGCTTGTTAAGCCACTGAACTGTTTGGCAACCTGAGCACATGAAACCCCACTGCAGAGCAGGCACCTGACTCCTCTTAGCAGTGATCCAACCCAACCACCAGCATTCCATGGGCAGCTCTCAAGAGTGGCAAAATTCTGGCTCCCCATCAAGCTGCATAGAGCACTAAACGCAGATGACAGTGCTTTTCAAACCAGAAGGCATCCACAAACAGATGTGCCAGAGAAGAAGGTTAACCAATGCTGAGAGCAGCCCAGTCAGGGTACAGCACCCCCTCAGGAGCTCTGAGGTGGCAGGACACAGAGCTCAGCTGACACCACGGTGTGGCTGCAGGGACACCCAGGGATCGATCTCACTGTGCCTCCTCCATCCCTCAGCTCCCAGAAAGCAGCTCCAGGCTCCAGCTCTGCAGCTCTCACAGCAAAGCTGCTCCCTGTTGTTCTCCTGCAGCCTGTGGTGGCAGTGACCAGCAGGCAGGGCGAGCTGAGGAGCTCAGCCCTAGGTGACTCTGAATGAGCTCACACAGGAGAGCTCATCACAAACCTGTTTGCTGAGTGCTCCCCGTGGGCCTTCTTGGAGCAGCAGGAGTATGTGAGGATCCTGAACATGTCTGTGAAGGCACTGCCATCAGGAGGTTTGGTGATGAAGAAGCTCTGGCCACACAGGAACACCATGAAGGAGATGCCGATGCAGACCGTGGGGATGCTGTACCCGATCACAAAGCTCACGTTCTGCTGGATGTAGGCAATGCCTCCCAGGGACAGGATAGCTCCCAGATTAATGCTCCAGTAAAACCAATTAAAAAACCTTCTTGTGGCTTCTGGACCCCGGTCTTTGACCTGGAGAAGATTAAAAGCAAGCCCTTCAGATTCTGAATAAATACAGCTAAACAGAATTAGAATCTTTGAATTAGAATTCTAACAAGTTCAATACACTGAGGAGCTCAGGTTTCATTTAGAGTCACACTGGAATGATTTAAGTGTTTTGGCTTCACATGGTGTTTGATGAGATGCCACCTCAGTGAGAGCTGCACCATTATGTGAGTAACCTTCTGGAAGCTCAGCACAGGGATAAAACAGCCACACTGCTGAGACACAGCTCCCCCAGAGAGGCCATTATTATTCCTACTGCACTGACTCTCACTGGGTCATTGCTCTACAAAAAGCTCCCTCAGATTAACATCCCATAGATCACAGGAGTTTAAGTAACTATTTTTTAGTAACAAAAAGTTAGGCTACCTAAAATTCACATATTGCCAAAATTGCTTGTTCTAACTGTATTTACACAACAGTTAACTCTATTCCATTTTCTAAGCCTCAAATGAATGCTTGGTAATTAAACAAAAATTTAATTTTTGACACAGTTTTAATGCCTCTCATCAGAACACAAATTGAGCACTTGTCCTTCTGACCTTTAAAAAAAATTAATTAAATTTGGGCTGCCTGAGGATCACAAGGCTCCAGTAAATATTTATCCCTGTAAGTCAGTGCTGTTCATAGTGTTATTTTTTCTGTTTGAAGCTCTCAGTCTCTCCAGTGAAAGTAAAGACATCCCTGTTTATAGAACTATCTGTACAGTTTTACCATCCCTCTTTATTATTGCCTACTGTAAGTTACCCCACATTTTGTAATTCACTCCCAGGAATCCAGCATCACTCATAAGAGGTGATGTAAGAGAAATGATGCAAATTAAAATTTGAAACACATTAAAAAGATCAAGTAGTCTGCAGGAGAATCCATAATACTGCATTTGTCAGTGGCTGATGACTGAAAGGCCATTAACAGTGACTAGCAAGTCAGTGCCATGCACCAGCCTGGCTGAGTCAGTTATTTTCCATTTGTAACTGCAGATTTCCCCTCCTCATTTGCCAGATCTCCAACAGACCCCTATTTAGTTTGCAGTATGAAAAGCAAGCTGTGTCTTAATATGAGTTTTTAACACTGCCAGTTCTGATTAACAGCTTCAGGTTTCCCAGTGGTGCACAAACCCATCTGTAGCATTTAGCCAAGCCCCACAGAGGAAATATGAAAGAATCTATTCCTGTGCACAGCTAACAGCACTGCCAGCATTCAGTGCATCTGTCAGAATGTCCAATGCAATCCTGGAGGCTAAACCCAAGAAATTCTCCCTCTCCAGCTTCAACTTGGTACTCAATTCCTAACTTTCATCAACTGCAGCAGTGGCTCAATCCAGGAATTCCTCCCAAAGCCCAATGAGCAGCAGGATATTAGCAAACAATTAATGGAACACAGTGCTCCAACTTGTGTAAGTGTTAGCAATGTGTTTGATGAAGTTTCCGTTTCTTCATCACAAAGTCTCAGTTCTCTTATTTCTGCAAGGCAGATGACTTCTCATCCTCCCTCCTGCACATGACCTGGCTGACATCTCTACAAAGGAGAGCAGGGAGAAGAAAGCCAACTTTGATGCAGGTAAGAACAGGGAAGCACACCATGAGCCTTCTGACAGGCATTATCCCAGCCTCCAGCCATTAGCTCCTGAGAAACTTCCTGAGCCAAGGATGGCTTCTCTGTGCTTAATCAAGGCAGCAGCTCTCCTCTCCACGAGCCTGTGTAACCTGCCTCTGAACCCGGGTCAGCTTTGAGGATGCACAGCATCCCGTGGCAGAGAGCTCCACAGGCAATGGCACAGTGGGCAGGGCTGCCTCCAGTGCCTGCTTTGAACCAGCCTGTCTGAGCCTGCCTCCTTCCACCTTGTTCCAGGAACCAGCACAGACAGCCCAGCTCCATCCATCCCTGATCCACAGACAGCTGAGCTCCATCCATTCCTGCTGCAGAGAGAGCTGAGCTCCATCCATCCCTGATCCACAGACACCTCAGCTCCATCCATTCCTGATCCACAGACACCTCAGCTCCATCCCGTTTCCATCCCATTCCTGCTGCAGTAACAGTGGACCTCCATCCATTCCTGCTGCAGAGAGCTGAGCTCCATCCCATTTCCATCCCATTCCTGCTGCAGAGAGAGCTGAGCTCCATCCCATTTCCATCCCATTCCTGTTCCAGTCACAGCCCAGCTCCATCCATTCCTGATCCACAGACACCTCAGCTCCATCCATTCCTGATCCACAGACACCTCAGCTCCATCCATTCCTGATCCACAGACAGCTGGGCTCCATCCCATTTCCATCCCATTCCTGCTCCAGACGGCCCATTTCCATCCCATTCCTGTTCCAGTCACAGCCCAGCTCCATCCATTCCTGCTCCACTGCTGGCACAAACCACTGTCACATCTCCCTTTCTGCTGCCTTTTCAGAGGTAGGAAATTTAGACTGATTTGTGATTCCTCACCTGGAAACTACTGACCACTGATTTGTGATTCCTCACCTGGAAACTACTGACCATGCCTGTGGCCCTTCCTGGAAATTTCCTTCACCATCTCCAGTGTCCTTTTTGTGACAGAGTGACCAAAGGAAGGCAGTGCTCAAAGGACAGACACATGACAGACTTACAATGCAAAGAATCCATTTCTTCCTTCTTTATCAAAGCATATGTTTGCACTAAAAATCACATCACAGCCACGTCTGAAATGCCACTGCGGCCTTTAACTGGCAAACATTAATAAGTGAATAAAGGTCCCACTGACTACCTGGTGGAATATCTTCTCAAAGACAAAGAACTATGAAGATGTCTTGTCAAAACCCCACACGAAAGGAACATGATCACTCAAAAGTCCCTGACAGTAGTAGCTTTCATTTGTTCCTGCAGTCAACTGAGAGTCACAAGTGACAAATGTACCAAACAGCCCCAAACTCATCGCAGTCACCTCTGAGAGCAGCCACACAGCAGAGCAGGGATGGAACAGAGAACCCTGTCCTTGTCCTTAGCCTACCAAAGAAGGTGCAATGGCAAGAGTTCTGTGCAGTCAAACTTACAGAATCCTGACCCTCTAATCCATCACTGCACACAACCACTGACTCTGAGATCATCTGAGAGAGCTGGGTAGCTGAGCTCCACACTATTACTCAGCTGCTAGGTAATTTCAAAGTTTTACACTGAAATTCGGAAAGTCCACGTATAAAGTCTGTTCCTATTCCACCTGTTATTACTGGCCTGAATGCCACAACTTGTTTCAAACCTGTTCTCTGCAGAGCCTTTGAGGTCCACAGGCTCATAAGAAGTCTGACAGCAGCAACAACAAAACAAGTTGCAGTCAGGGACCTTCAAATCTTTATACCTGGCTCCCCATCCTCATCCAGAGGCTGGAAAATCTATGCTCTACAAATAAATAAAGGCTGAAAATCACTCTAAAGCCATCTTTACAGCAGCAGTTTCCAATAGCTGGAAAAAATAACTGTAAAGCACCAATTTCAGCAGAGCTGGAAGATCTGTGGCAGCTGTAGCCTGATATTTACTGGCTGTGAAGGCAGCTCAGAGGGCAGCACAGCTGGGTGAAAGCTGGCCTCCCCAGGCGCTGTAACCCTGCAAGAGACCCAGCTATAATTAGAGTGATTATGGGTGAGACCAGATTAGGAGTCTGCTGCCACTCTGGCCTCGGTGCTGAGGCTGAAGCAGCTTTCACAATAACCACCAGCAGTCCCATTGTTTCCCAACTGCAGAAAGTCGCACACAGGCTGCTCCAAGAACAGGAAGTGACAGCAAACACTGGCCCGAAAGGGGAACTGGAAAGTGCCAGGGCATGGGATCACATGATGAGAAACCCCATTCTGAGCACCTTCCCCTCAGACTGACACAGCACCACGGACAGGCTGACACTTCTAGAAAGACATCTGTAAACACAGCTGGGAAAAGCTGCTCTGTCCCAGCCTTGCAGAACTCTCCTTGCTAAGCTGAGTGGTGGAAGTTACTCATCCTGACTCTAACAGCACTTCTAAAAGTAGGCACTCAACAGAGTTGGGAACCAGGGAAAAGTAAGTATTGCAGTTCAGTTTCCCATATTCCACAAAGTGATTCTGCTAAATAAAGAAACTTCTCATTATACAAGAGCCCTCCACCCAAATTCTGTACATTAAAGCTGAAAAATTCACACGGTAATTTCTAAGAGATCTGCAATGAAATGCAATTAACATTCTGAAAGGTGATTGTGCCAACTGATATACATGATGTACAATTCAGCCTTTCCTTGGGGAAAGAGGACAAATCCTATCAGCACACATCCAGCCCACACACGTTTGCAATGTGCTCTGGCCTCCCAAGAACATGGCTCCGGGACAGACTTTATTTTCAGATACAGATAGGTACACAGAGATACAGATAGATACATACAGCTACACAGATATATTCTCATCTCCCCAGGAGTTTTCTGCATTCCTGTGCAGGGAAAAGGCACCCAAGAGGGCCCCAAACTGCACTCCAAGGTAAGTGGCATGCTGTAATATATTTAACAAGAGATAAGCCAGAGAAAGAGAGAAGGGGAAAAATTCAGACCTCGGCAGAGCTCCACTGATTATTATGGCCCAGAAAGGAGTATTTCTTTTGCTTCACCCTACATAAATCACTGTGAATTATCTTCAAACCCAGCCAAAACCTGCTTTCCTTGAAATCCTGGGGGAAAAGCCTTTACAAAATCCACCAACAACAGCTACACTTCCATTGGCAATGGCTCTTCTTTTGCTCAGTTCTTGCCATTATTTATCTCCCATATTTAACTTTCATAAAGCGTTCTGGGGATAAGCAGTCAGTTTTGAAAAACACCTTACAAGATAAAGTCATATTAAAGCTATTTCACTTGATGGGCTCAGGCTGGCTCAAGCAGAGCTAATGCACTGGGGACACACAATCCTGGGCTATAATAATGTTTTACATTTATATACTGCCTTTCACCCAGAATTCAGAATACACAAAATGCCAAAGAATGACAAATGCAAACTGCACAACAGAGAATGGAGGTGTGTTTGGCAATGGTTCTGTGGTGGATTCTCCCTCTTTCAAAGAATGCATGGCATTTCTGATACCTGCTCTAACCAGAACTCAGTGAGCCAGCAGACATGCCACTCAGTTTAGTTTCAGTTTAGTTAGAAAAGCTGCTCAGCAGTACCTGAGCATGCTGAAATTCTCTATTTGCAAAGCAGAAATTACATTTCAACATCCACACTGCCTTAGCACAGGACTGTAAAAAACCTACATGTAACAGAGCATTCCAGTTGTTACTGAAGTGCAAGCTGCCTCTCAAACATTTTCTGTGCAGCCCCTGGGCTCTGCAGTGATGACCCAATGAATGAGATCACTGTGGCGGGTCCCCACAAGGTCATTTGACAGGATGTGTCCTCAGAACAGCCCAGGTGATGTTTACCATGGCCAGAGCAGCTTCCCCCATCATGTGATGCAGCACCAGGCTGCACAGAAATGGCACTCCAGGGCAAGGCAGTGCACAAATACCTAAAGCATAAAAACTGTTAGTTCTGCACTGTTAGATCCTTTATCTCAGGATGGTAAAGGCGTCTGACACTGCCTTAGGAGCCCCATGTCATCCTTGTCACAGCTCAAATGTGTATCTTGTACTTCATTTGATGAGCTCTGAGGTCACGTTAACTGGGTACAAACTGACCAGCGAGGACAATCAGCAGTCCACTTAATGGCCATTAAGTATTCAACCCAAGTCCTGAGATGGTGATGGCTCAGCCAACTCAGATCCCACATGTGAGGCAGGGTAACCAGGAAAGCAAAGGGATCTGACACCCCACAGGCACCGAAATGACACCGAACGTGGCCCAGCTGAACCAGCTGCACTGCACAGGGCCAGGGCTGGGTGATGCCATTCCCTGCCAGGCTCAGCACCTGCACAGAGGCCAGTCGGCCGGGCACTGCCCACCCCAGCACGGCAAGCCCCTCTGCCACCCTGGGCACCCCGAGCGCTGCAGCTGCCACACCATACCCGACCTGGTCGGCCCCGAACGGGGTGATGTTGGCCTTGACCGAGCCGACGCCCAGCCCCACGAGGACCAGTCCCACGAAGGTGGCGGCGGCGCAGTAGCGGGTGGCTCCGGCCTGCGAGCAGGGCGCCAGGGTGGCGTTGGCGGCCGGCGAGGAGCAGTTCTCCACGGGGAACAGGGGGATGTCCCCGCACAGGCCCTGGCGGGTGTGCGGCGCGGCGATGACGGGGAAGGCCAGCATGCCCAGCAGGTACAGCGCCATGCTGAGCAGGATGGTGCCGAACTTGCCCAGCAGGGCGTCGGCCAGCCAGCCCCCGAACGGCGACACCAGGTACGTGATGCCCATGAAGAGCAGCAGCGCCTGGCTGGCCTGCGCGCCCTCCCAGCCGTAGGGCGGCCCGTTGAGGAACAGCACCAGGTTGGAGGTGATGCCGTAGAAGGCCACTCGCTCCAGCAGCTCGGCCAGCAGCACGGCGGCGCAGGCCAGCCGCCGGCCCTGGAAGGCGCTGCTGGCCGCCCGCCCGCGCTCGCCGCTGCTCAGCAGAGGGCTGCGCTCGTTCGGCTCGGCCTCGTCCATGGCCCCGCGTCCCCCCGGCGGCCCCGCCGCGCTCCCGGCCCGTCCGCCGGGACCCGCGCCCGCCACCGCCCCAGCCCCGCCCCCCAGGCAGCGCCGCGGCGCCATTGGCCGAGGGCGCTGTCACTCCGCCGGCGCTCGGCCCCGCCCCCAGCAGCGGCGCGGTGCCATTGGTCGGAGGCGCTGTCACTCCGGCCGTCGCGCCGTCATATGGCCGAGTGGGGCGCGGCGGGGCGGAAGTGGTGTGGCCGTGAGGGAGTCCCGGCGGGTGGCCGGGGAGGTTCCTCAGGGTGCCCGTCAGAGCGGCCGGGGAGGTTCCTCAGGGTGCCCGTCAGAGCGGCCGGCCGGTCGGCAGTGGGGAGGTTCCTCGGGGTGCCCGTCAGAGCGGCCGGGGCGGTCCGGCACGGTGACCCTCAGAGCGGCCGGCAGGCAGTGGGGAGATGCCTCAGGGTGTCCCTCACAGCGGCCGGCGCGGCCCGGCGCGGTGCCCGTCAGAGCGGCCGGCAGCGCCAGCCGGAGCTGGGCAGCCCGGGGTGTGCGGCGCCTCTCCCCGCCGTGACCTTGCTGCCGCTCGGGGGCTGCACCGGGAAACGGAGGTGGAAATGCACGGAATCCTCGAACCGTCCCAGAGGAAGGAGCTCTGGCTGGCCCTGCCCAGGCAGGGTCACCTGGCACAAGAAGGCGCCCAGGCGGGTGTGCAGGGAGGCAGGATCCGCCGCCTCCATGGGCAGCTGCTCTGCCATCCTTCGTGAAAAGAGTTCTCCACGGAGAGTTGCTTTGGTTTTTGGGCATTGTTCCTCACCCTGTGGCTGGGCACCACTGAAAAGAGCCTGGCACCAGTTTCTTGGCACCCGCTTCTGAGATACTTATGCATTAGTGAGATCCCTTCTCAGTCTTCTTGAGACTAAACAGTCTCAATTCCTGTGTTCTCTCAAAAGAGATGCTCTAGACCCCAAATAATCTTTTTTTTTTAGGGTTATTTAATGCTGTAGTTAAAGACTGTCTCACAACAAGGACTTTCAGCAGGAAAAGGTGATGAATGTGTGGTGTTACAGGCTGTTTTTATAAGAGTTTTTATACGTGTCTTTGTTTTTATACGTGTTTTAATTCGTGTTTGAGGCCAACTCAGCCCCCAGGATGTGCCTGGTGACTCAGGAGTGGGAGCAGCAGCTGGGTGTGAGGGCATGCAGGAATTATCCAGGTACACATGGAGAGTGAACACTGATTTCAGTAGGACAAAGCATGTGATTAAAATGGGAAAACATAATATTACAAGATTACAACCCTGAGATGTGCTGCAGTTCGACCATCATACGTGTTGAGGTACAGGTTGTGAATGCGTTAAATTGTCTTCAGCAGCAGATCTTAAAAGTCTTATTTTTGGCCAGAACAAAGTGGGTAAGACACTGCTGGTTGTGTGTTTTCAATGAAAAAGTTAAGTTTATTGACATCATGTAGTTACATACCAAACATTTAGGCATGACTTACTTTGGAGCAAGTGATGCTTGTAAAAGTAAATACAGTCATTCAGTAATGGGCCTTTGTAAATAACATATGCCATAAAAATGACTGATTACATATATTTGCTTTCTTAACTAGTTAAGAAATTTCATGACAAAGGACAATGAGGAAAAGGCAGTCAGCTGTACAGGCATTTCTTTGTGAACTACTGTAATGTGACTGATTCTGTAACAAAATTACAATTCATCTTTTCCTAGCTTATTGTCATATTAACTGTGATTGCACTTTCTGAGGAGTTTGGCAGTATTTTCTGGAGACTCAAAGTAATAAAGCACACTTTGTATTATTGTGTCTTATTTTCATGTTTTAGACCCTTCATCATTTACCTTGGTGAGTGAGGTGAGATTTCTATATTGACCTGTCCCACAACTGGTACAAACACCTAGCAATGCTGAGCAGCAGTTGGAATGTACATTAAAATGTTACCTAACTCTTCAGGGATAGAGATGCAGGTACTCTCACTAAATTCACAAGTTACTGTTCTCTCTGGAAGTACAGCAGGAAGGAGGTTTTCATTTCCCTCCAAACAGTACTGAGCTACAGTGTGTTTCAAAGTTCATTCTGATACATCCAGGACCCTTTCTGTGCACACAGTGAGTGCAGCTGTGTCTATACAGGAATACATTCATACATTTCTGTTTTCAAGATGCAATGCACATTTCCAGATTATTTTTTCAGTCAAAGCCTAAACAGCATAAAGCCAGAGTTATCATAAATAGTGATAACATGTTAAGATCTCTTTGAATGTTTCCTTTAATTCCTCTTTATTTCTCAGGTGACTGGTTGAGTTTCCTCATTTCTCACGGAGCAGGCTTTGTCTTGCTTTAATGTTTGCGTTTTTTCTTCTTTGTGTTGCACACTAAATGTGTTGGACAGCATTTGCTAACCCAAACCGTGGCTTTCTGAGCTTTCACAGCCAGGGTACAGCTGCAGAATCTCCATTTTTGGTTCCAAGGCTGCTCTGGACACACCCTGCCAGAGCTGCCAGGTGTGACACACCTGGATGGGCTGTGGGGACATGGTGGCACCAGGAGGGGCTGAAAGGCACCTGTGGAGCTTCACTCAGCCCGTGTGACACCTTCAGCTCTGTGACAGCTGAGAAGCCCAAGTGTGCCTACAGGGGCCACTTCCAGGCTGGAATCCTGGCCACGCTGACAAAAGCCCTCCACATCTCAGCAGGAGTGGGATTTCACGCCAGAAACACTTTCTGGAATGGTGACACAACTGTTCTAGACCCAATGGTTTGGTTCTGCCTATCCTTAGATTAGCATTTACCCGGTTTTTAGCATTTCTGCAGCATTTGCTGCTCTTCTAGGTTGCAGCCAAAATTTTTAGTTCCAGTGGAGTTTGAAGTGGTCTAAAGAATGTTGTGCTGAATCTAAGGGATAACTCAGTGAGATGCAGTTAACACAGCTCTGCAGCATTCAGTTTCGTTAGCAAAACATGAGCCTGCCTACCAGAACGTTTACAGTTTGCCAGAACCCACTCCAGTGTGTGTTTTTATGACCTTTAAACACTCAATTTCAGAACACCTGTTAGCCTCAGAAATCCACACAAATTATTGGAAGAAGTAATGTTTCAAAAACTATTAATTCAATATTTCTCTGCATGTGGCTTATTTTATCTCTGTCTACCTGAGAGTGAAATATTAATAACAAGGCACTGCAGGTTTTTGAAGACCACTTTTCCCTGTCTTCTCCAGCCTTTGGGGAAGCTGGCATCTGTGTGGCCCTGTGGTGAATTACATCAGGCAATCAGACCAGGTTATAATGAAAAAAGTGACTTTTCTGGCCAATCAGCCCCCTTCTCATCACCACCAATGTGCTGCACCTGGTCTCAATACTTTCCCAAGAGTTGAAACAGGTTCAGGTGGGTATCTACAATCAGCCACCTGTTTCCTATTGATCTCCCAATGGACGCCCTGGGCTGGCCTCTCACCTTCCTGCTGCTGCCCCACTCAGCTGCACGGTGTTTCTGGCTCCAACTGGGGTGGACCCTTTTATCCTGAACACTGCCTTGCTGGTTTGGGATATCTTTTTCTTCAACTGGAGTTCAGGTTTGTTCTTTTTTCTTCCCTGTTTTGTTGTATCTTTGGTTTCTGCCTGTTGCAGTGGTTTCTTGCCTTTTCCCTGGTCTCGCACACCTTTGGTTCTGCTGCGTTTTGAGGCCTTCCTGATGCTGGGAGTGTTCTTTGACCATCCCATTCATACTCTTCAGACTAGCGTGTTCCTCTGGCTGTTCTGGTGCTTGGCATCTTACCCACCTTTAGGTTTTTTCCTATGGCTGTTCCTTCCCCAAGCACGGGGCACCTCCTGGGTGGCAGCGGGAGGCAGAGGCTGTGCTGCTGTCCTCAGGAGGCCTTTGAATTCCCGTTCCCCGGCCATGATCCGAGCGAGTCACCTCTGTGCCGGACTAGCGAGGGCACGCAGCGCAGTCCAGAGGCGCGGGCAGGCACCCAGACCTCTGCCAGGTATCCAGGTGCCCTCTGCC